ACATATTCAGTCTTTCAAGAGCTCTCAACAGCCTCCACAATATTAGTTGATTCATTTAACAAGCCACAGACCAAGTAAACATCTGTCTAATGATTCAAGACTGTGAGATTCCCTATTGTGGGAAACTCCGAGGAGAAAGCCACGGTGAATCAGTCAGGAGATACACAGGGCAACATGATTTTCAAAGGCCCCTAAGTGATAGCCTGTTGCATGAACCACCGGGTGTGGTTACAAAAGACACACAGCAGCTCCAAACCAACACCACTCTTTGAAACTGGCCTGGGCTAACAGTGTCCTATAATCAGTGTCACAGCTCTAAGATGGATTCAAGCAGCAGCATCCAGGCACGCTGCACGCTGGAGCCACTGCCACCAGAAGAAAACCGTGGACTGGGAAGCAGTTGGAATTGCACGCTCCAGTCCAACCTGCCATATCCTTGTGGGAAGTACTAGCTAATTTATCAGTTCTTTACTATCGTAGATTATTTAGTCCTATGACAGAGGACCACTCACAGATAATTGTAACTACATAAGCATATGAATTTTATATGATGTCACCAAGAAAGAACGGCTAAAATAACTTTTTTATAAATACATGCATCACAAATTTACTGTATGCTGGTTCTTCCCAGCCTCATCCCCCTTTCCCTTATCCTTGATAGTCAAATGACTTTTTATTTCAGCATCTTTTTCTTTTGTTTTCTGAAGCAACATGTTGTCATGTGATTGCAGTCCCAAGGCAAATATTTGTCCTTGCTATAACAGCCGATGGACCTTAGTGTCCCTAAGCATCATATAGACCTGTCTTCCTACATGTAAACATATGACCCTCAGAGCAAGCAACAAGCTCCATGCACCTTGGTGAACCTGCAAAATTACTTTCATTCTGAGCCAAGTCCTCCAGAACAGATTTTTAAACTACAGAAGACTTCAGTTTCAAGTCCCTTGAGCTGTAATACCTTCCCATACCTTCCCACCTGCACCACAACACACCCTGAGGCTGGCCTCCATCCCAAGAAGGGCATTACAATGAGAAGGTAAAGTTTACATAATTGGACTTCAGACACAGCAACGGGGAATACTTCAGTCTTTAGAGTGAGGTATTTGATTTGTTTTCATGATTTAAGTTTAATGAAATAACATTAAGTAACAGGAGCAAAGAACCACTGTAAATCAGTGAGCAGTGAGAACTGCTAACAAATAAACAAACTAGGTATTTGTTTCTACATATGAAAGCGTCCATGTGGGCAGTGGTTTACAAACAAGGCTGTGGCTGAGATTGTGTTGCTTATTTCAGCTGTTGCGTCTAGGTGGAGTTGCTGGTATCTGAAAGGATATAAGCCTGTAGGTTTTTCCTGTTTTAGGAACAACTCATGGACATGATTTGGAAAATCAATATATAAGCAATTTTTATAATATCTCATGCAAGACAGTATATATTCTTCTCACGCAATTTTCCATTTCATAAGTTAAAACAGGCAGAGAATAAAATCATACTTACAACAAAAACCCCCTTAGGTTTTTTTTATTATTTGAGCGGAAACCATCACGCACTATTTGATATTTGGATTTATTTTTTTTTCTGTTCCAAACAGAACTGCTGTATTTTTAACACATCTATGGATTACCTCTCATTCACTCTTTCAAATACACAGAACATACAACCAGTACACTACTACTACTACATCTGTTTTTCTATGAGGACATCAAGATGTTTTTACTTATGCTGAGTGAATACAATATATGAAATTTATATAGTGTAGATAGACTATATATATCTGTATGTATGAATGTGTGTGCTTCATCTACACTTGTCAAGGGTTAGGCTGGGCTGGCCACTAAACAAACGACAGATGTTCTCTATTAACCCCTCTCCCTTCCCTAAAAGGGGAAGGGAGAGGGAATAAGGGAGAGGAAATTATGGGTTGGAAAAAAAGCCTAAACCAGCTATAATGAAATATTAACGATTTAAAAAAACATTAATAATATTAATAATAATGAAATATATACAAATATAAACAAAACCAAATATCAAGCTCCCAGGATGATGATCACGTGACTGGTAAGTACTGGGACTGGACTCAGTGACTGATGGGAAGTGGATTTGGGAACTGGATTCAGGAAGGCACAGATTGTAATCAAAGGCAGAAGAGCAAACAAGATGCCAGCCATCAAAGAAAAGACAATTAACCCCTTTGATCCCTCAGCTTTTTATACTGAGCATGATGCTCACGGGTAGGACGCCCCATTGGTCAGTTTTGGGTCACCTGTCCTGTCCACTGCTCCCCACAGGTGCGACCCTTCCACTTCCGACCCTCCAATATGGCACATAACAAAGTTAGCTGACTTTGGTTGTTAGGGGAATAAGTAGAAAAAAGAGCCTCTCTACATAGCACTCCTTGGCATTAATATAAACATCAGATATTATCACTCTGGAGGCAGACAGTGCCTGAAAACCATACCGTTAATTTCAGAGAGCACAGTCAGTTAGAAGAGACCTAGCTGAAAAGTAAAATTACTGGAAACAAAATTGGTTTTGTTCTATCTCAAACCAGGACAACACTGCTTCAGCAGATGGCACAGTGAAATTCCAGCAATATTTAATGCAATAAGTTAATGTCCATGTTTCAAAGAGAGATAATCAGAGCTAGGAAACACTCTTCAGTAAGTTTTCATGTTGTACACCACATTAACTGTTCCACAATATATTCAACAGATGTTTTAACCTTATGCCCAGTAATGCACCTATGTCTCTAAAATTTGGAATTTTACAAAAGGAATAAAACTCCAAAACTGGAAAACAACTTTTACTACCTGATGACTACATTTGATTGAAACACAGATTAGGCATTTTCTGGTTTACATACTACTCTAAAAATTCTTCTCTGCCCAACTAGGACATCAAGAGGCATCTGTGTCTGGAGATCGTGTCACTAATCCACTAATAAAAGTCCTCTGTAAAGTGATGTTCATGAAGAACTTTTCTGTGCAGCATGGACATAGGAAGTACAGGAAACACTGAAGATCCTCAAAGGTAAACACGTGGTATGCTGCAATTAGTTCTCCATACAAGTACTACTTTTTTTCACAATGTTTGCTTGTTTAATGCTATCACATGACAATTCAAGTAAGTAGCTAAGTGTTATTTCCTATTACATGCAATCTTATGCATACTTTTTGACATTTCTTGGTTATAACCAACTTGCAAGCAAGACCCCATTTTCTTTGTTTGCTCCAGACTTTTTTGTTTTTTTGCAAAAATGTCATTAACTTCTAATTTAAATTAAAGATCAGTAAGTGCATGGCAAAAATCTTTTGAATTCTGAACACAGACTTTTTTCATGACCACTATGAAAAGAAATCATCACAAAATAATGACACAAACCTCTAAGTGATATGTACAAAATAAATATCAATCACTTGGAAATTAAATATGTAAGGCATCAATACACCAAGGTTATGTGAGTGAATATACTTTCCAAACATGCCCAGCACCTCAGTATCTTGGCTCAAGAGTCGTTTAATCATTCAATTACATACAATTGTCACAGACGTTTGTAGTAAAACAGACTTCTGTTCACCCCATTTCTGCACTTCACCCTACAAAACTATTTATGCATAAACTACATTTAATCTGAAATAATCAAAAAGCTGTACGAGCAAAAAACATGAGATGAACCATGACTTTTCTGCTTGAAGTTAAATGCAACCATTGACTTTTGAAGTTGAGAGTCCGCCTGACCAAAAAGATGCTGCATTGTATAAACTTGTCTCAGCGCTACACCCCTAAGTAAATAAAGATGTAAGTTGTCTCCCTTTCAACTGCAATGTTAGAAAGGCTGACAGGGCTTCACAAAACCCTCCTGTGTTAGAGAACGGAAACTCCTAATGAGATTAGTTGGTGTGTGTGCAGACATTACTTAGCCATGACTAAATGGGCTCTCTTCCTGCAGCCAGTGGAAAATTCAGGGAACTTTTTCCCCCTGCAGCATCAGAGTCTCTCTAACCTTCAGCAAAGCCAGATCCAAAAACAACTCTCCACTTACTCTCCCTTTCTCTCTCTCTCTCTATTTTTTTTCCCCTTCCCTTACAAACATTTTTAGTGTTTTTTTCGGTTGGTCGTGGAAACTCTCCACGTCGGCCAAGGGGTCTTGGGGCAGGAGGTGCCTACGAAAAGCGGGGAGGGGGAGGGCCGGGGAGAACGCAGAAGACTACAAAGGAAACTGTAAAAAAAAAAAAAAAAAAAAAAGGAGCAAATATATAAACCTGAGAGGGAGAAAACCACAGAGTTTCTTTGTGAGCTGCAGTGACTCATTTTCAAGATGTTGTCTGCTGCCAGTTTCAAACCGGAAGCGCATGGCAATTAGTCTTGCTGTTTCCAGACAAGCCAGAAACTCTCCCGACACTTAAGCCCCTTCTGCAGTTTCTGCAGGAGCCTTCCCTTCCCTTCCCCCCGTCCCTACGTCTCCTGCCCCCGGCCCCGCAGCGGCGCCGGGGACCCCGCGGCGCCCCCCGCCGCCCTGACAGGCACCCGGGCGGCCCCCGCCGCCCCAGTCGCCGTTATCGTGACATGCCGCTCGTAGGGGACGGGCCCGGGCGGCCCCGACGGCCTGACACCGCCGGACGGGGCTGAGGGGAGAGGCAGGATACGACCCGGCACCGCCGAGGGGGCTGCGGGGCGGCG